GAATTTTGGAAAAAAGTCTGAATTCTGAGATTAAAGTCAGAATTCTGAGGGAAAAAAAGTCAAATCACATCAGCTTTGGGGGAAAATAGAATTTAAAACCTGTTAACGATACGGGGAAATAGTCAGCTTTGGAGTCGCACAGAGCATATATAGCAAGTGGGGCAGACTCTTGCAAAAACAATCAATTAAACATTTAAAAAAATATTACTTTACCAATAATAAGAATTCAGGAGGACAGATAATGGAGAAAGTGGTGATCTTCTTTGAGCCTTGCAAAAACAACGATGGAGAGAAACCGCAATTTAACGATCTCTTTGGTGGAAAAAAATGAATTCAGGAGGATAAAAAACAGATTTAGTAAAATAGTGATCCTCATTGAGCCTGAAAAAACTAAATAACGAGGTGCAGACAGAGCAGGTAAGAGCGGCGTTTCTCCAATAGGCTCCCCCTTGCACTTTGGCAGGAAACTGCTGTGCGTCCCTCGAAATTCCAGACCGACGGTGCAGAAGCATACCAGCAAAACTGGTTTGCGACCAGACCCAAGCGACATTTGATGTGTGCGATTGCAGAAGTCTAATCTGCCCTTAAGAAGTCATACGCAACACGAGTGTGTTCAGGCCTTAACAAATTTATGAAGCCAAAAGCTAAAGCTCTACCGATTATATAGTTGTCACTCTTTCAACTGCAGACAAATTGAAGGCTACAAAAAGCTATTTTTGTTTTTTTAAAGGGTCTTAATGACATCTTATTAGGGTCTTGATGCCTGTTTATATGTTCAAGGACACAAGCAGCACTGCCCACAATGCCAATGGTTACAGACTGATGAAAACACAGCAGAGAATTGGAGAAAAAAAGAGGAAAACATAAATAAATCTTGCCTGATGTTGTGATCATGGTATTGTTTACCAATAATATACACCTCACAGAATTGTCTTAAGTCTGTGTAGCTATTATAGGCGTATGTATCTATTTGGACTGATCTGTGTCTGATTCTGATTTAGACTCTGTTTAGGTTCAAGAAAGTCTGCAGCTAATTTAAACATTAAGTTTTAAAGTGTTTTTTTGTAATACTATTCCTGTCTATAACAAGTCGATTCCTTTATAACATTCTGCTGGGTTTTTTAATGGTTTATGCTAACTACCCCGGTTTAGTGTGAATTAGCACTTTTTAAATTAGCTGGCTTGCTTCTGATCCATCACTCAGCCTGCCCCCCCCACCCCTTGTCACTCTGTGCATTTCTTTCCTTCTGGCTTAGCGCTGGCCGTAAATCGTTCGGCATTTACAGTATGTGGCTAAATGCCAGGTTTCCATTAGGTGCTTCGCTCCCCGGAGACGGCGCCGGTGGCCTGGGATGTGTTACCTCTACTGGCTGGGGGGGGAGGAAGGAGGAAGTCAAACAGATGGGAGGGAAAAGACTTATAAACACTGGCATTTAGATCCGAACATGTGATCCAGGGATTCTGAGGGTCAAGCTAAAGACAAAGAGAGATGAAATATGTTCATAAATATTTATTTGTCATTATTTTAAGGTAACTAGATAATTAGTTGCCGTTTAAAGTTTTTTTCTTTAACTTTTCAGCTGCTTTTTTTTTAAGCTGCCTGTGTCTCTTGAATTCATATTTTAAGCTATGCTGAAAGAAATGATCTCCAACCAGGCAGTAAAACAGCACAGCCCATATGATCGATATCTGAAACTCATGTCTGTAAAGAAAAAAAAAAGGAAACAGGAAACTGTGATTAGATTACACAGGTGGACTCTCAGTACTAATTGGGTTACAGGTTAAAGGCAGTGAGTTGTTTATTTTTTTTTTTATTTGGGAGAGCATTTGTAAAGGAGGGGCTGAATTTTCTTATCGTTTTATTTTTTTTTCTGTAGGGATTTTAGTAATTCATTTAAAACCATGTCTAACTTTTAGCCACTAGGGGAGCTAGACCTGTAACTTCCAGGTTTACACCCCCTGAAAGCAAGTGGCAAAATAAAACAAAAAAAAATGTTTTGGAATCTGAATGCAGATTCCTTTGGACCATTACCACCTAAATACAGGAAAACATTCACCCTCTAGATTCAATCTTAATCCAGAGAGCAAAAAATCTGTGATATATGAATGAATCTTATGACTCATTCAGGGATGGATTCGAGCCTCTCAAGTTACCGAGATGAATTAAGCTAATACTTGGGTCAAAAGTAACAGTGCTGCTTCAAGTCTTTAATGATTTTAATGATTTGACAAGAAGCACTTTTAATAAATTAGTTTTTATTTCTTTTTAAGAAAAAAAATAATAATTTCAGAAAGAAACTGAAATATGCAAACTGCACTGAAAAAAATATATAGATATAAGTAAACATTTGTTAAACTGAGTGTATTTACCCTTAATTCAAATGGATAAATAAGTTGAATAGTTAATATGTACATGAAATAAGACAATGCAATTGCTTTTTTTATTATTTTAAATGTAAATTGTCTTGTCCCATTGGCAAATGGTCTCCCTTGCCTCCTCAATTCATGACTAAATTAACTTATTAAAAGTAAAAAAAAAATGATAAAAAAAGATAAAAAGTTGCAGTCCCCAAGAAAAAATCTTCACCTACTAAAAAAACAAACAAAGGAACTAAAACAGGGATTGGAAATAAGGAAACCGGTGAAATGTTATTAAAAGAATTATATTTATTAATTGTGCTTTTTGACAAAACATACGATAAGTGAGATGACTGGGTTTTCCACCTGGATTGGATTTTCTTCTGACCTAAACTGATTAAATAAAAAAAATAAAAAATGTTCTCAATGAATAATTAAAGATCCATTTAAGGGAAACTATCTGATTGCTGACCTTCTCAGACGGCCTCTCTGATTCTCCTGCCAAACCTGATTCCTTCCGTTGCGCATGTAATAAGATAAAGCCAAGTGTGGGAGGACAGAAAACCAGAGATGCTGAGATACAGCAGATAACAAACAGAGGAGCAGGGAGGATATGAAAGGAGATCAAACAGGATATGGAGCAGAGAGAGGGAGTGGATGGCTCCAGTGTAGAGGAGGAGGTTAAAACAACCGTGAATGGGACAAAACTGAGCAGCATGGAAAGGAAAGAAGGATGTGAGACAGGAAGGGTGAAAAGAGACGTTGGCTGGTTTTGGATGAAGCTCTGTCCTCCTTATCTGCTTTATCTCCTCCGGTTGTTCTCCGCCGGAGTCTCTCCTTCCCTTCCCTTCCTCCCTGCCTCCTTCCTTCCATCTGTCAGACAGACAGCTGTTGGCAGGCTTCTCTGTTGTTGCTCACTCCGTCCTGATTCAACCCAAGCTCCTCCATCTCCCTCCAAATATTCTTTTATGCTTCTCAGCTCCATCCAGCCGGCGCTTAGAGGAACTTGAGATTCTTTACAGTTTACTCATGTGGTCAGAAAGTTAAAAGAGGTCCTTTTATGGGTTACTTGAGAACATCTCTGACATCAGTAAGCAATCAAAATTAGTTTGGTCCGCCGCATTTATTGTTGCTGATGTGTTTGCTTTGTGCTGCCACACGTTAGAAGTGCAGTGAAGGATGCGAGTACGGATCAGCACATTATTGCAATGAAGATTGTTGCTCCGAGCTTGACCTCCTCCTGCTGCCTTTCCTCCAATATAAAACAGATTCTTTTTCCTGATTGCATGTTTTTGACCTTGCTGAACCCACTGGATTCTGATTCTGTGAAATAACGCTGCTCTCTTCCACATCTACTGCATCTGTTTTATGAGACTCTACAGGTTCTGATGGCTTGGATATTACTACTGTGTGTATTTCTGCTTTGTTTAATTGTGTTGGTATGTCCCGTGTGGTTAAAAACATCACAAAATTGTGATGTTTTTGTAATAAATAAGCTAAACGGAGGATTTTTTTTGAAATAGAGATTCTACTTTGTTTAGCGGATGAAAGTTTAAAGATGAATTAAATGTTTTATTGTGTTCTGCTCACATACATTTGAATTACTTTTTCTTTTCCCCCCAGCAAATTAAACTAAGCAGCATTCATTATGGTGATGTTCATGGTTGTTGTTTTTTTTTCGGGTGCTGAACAGCTGCTGTAAACTGAGACAATAAAGACAAACATCAGCCCGTTGGTAAAGGAAAAAGTCGTAACATTTCCCCTTGATTGCCGGAGCCGGTTGTCTGCTGTGCATGCACCACTGACAAGCTGAGTCCAGATTTTAAATCTGATACTCTGCCTCTACAAACTCCAGGTTCTAATAAAGTGAAGCATTAAGTTGTTAAATTATAGCGAATAAATCATCGTAATTTTCTGCTTATGCAATAACGGGTCATGGGGGCAGCAGTGCACTCCAAGGATGTGTCTGAATGTCCACCCTAATCACTATATAAGGCACTATATAGTGGTTACCCAAGTTTAAATTAGTGTCCAAACATCTAGTGGTTGGAAAAGTGGTGGACTCTCTACTAAATTTCCCACAACGCACCTTGAAAAGTAGAGATCATCCATTGTCACTAGACGAGCAGAAATATCCCATAATGCTTTGGGAGGAAAGCTCTCCTAAATATTCCCTGCTCGATATATAGATTTAGGGATTTAGGGGTTTCATTGGACGTTTGGACACTGCCCTAGATGATCAAATCCCTCCGACCTGAAGGGCAAAACAACCTATATATATATATA